AGCGTTCACTGTGCCTGTGGCATTTTCACTCTGTTACTCCTGCCCTACACTTCTGCCCACTCTGTTGCTCCTTCCTTTCACCAGCCTCCTTGTGTAACTGCAGGTGCTGCATGAAATCATCCAGGATCTGCTGGGCCGACACAGAGTTCACATCATCAGTGTCCTGCTCCAAAAGAGTTACCTTTAACTCTTCCTTCCCGGCCCAGTTATCACTAGCTACATGGCCCTGCCTGAGGTCTGGAAGGGTGTCAGCATGATTAGTGGCCAAAGAGGACTGCTGTTGCCTTTGGGGGTAGATAGGCTGTGGCCTGGCAGCATAACTGGCAGCCATTTTCTTATAGATAGCAGTGCTGATCTCAGCCACAGAGAAAGGCAGGCTGTGGCTCGGCTCATGCTGACCCGAGAGGCCGCACTCATTTCCTGTTGCTGGTACACTCTGTTTAAAGGGCGTGAAAGCTGTGACCCTCTGTGGACCTGCCTCTGGTTTAGTCAGCCAATCATGTGCTGCTTTGTCTGCTTTAGGAGGGTGGGGCTTGCCATCTGTTTGCTGAGAGGTGGCAGAATGGCTGTTTGCAGCGGAGGTTGTGAGAAACTTCTGTACAGCCTCAGCGGAATCAAAATGCTTCTCCAGTAGTTCCTTTATCAAGCATGGCACCTAAATTTAAGAAAAAATATGTATAAGTAAACATTACTCTTTACATTTCAAGATTCATGAAATGCATCTGCTTTCAAATCTAATTCTGTTGCTTTAGTAACTTTGAAATATTTGCTTCATAAACAGCATCACCTCAGTGCTTCATCATAATCTCTGGCGCAACATAGTATCTTTCATTGGTTGCTATGCGTTATTTAGCATATTTCAAGGAACATTTAGCTGATTATGCATGTGCAAGTTGATGGACAGCTGTGCTTCAGTACTTTGTTTGCACTGACTGGAGATCCAGATGAGTAATGTCTCCTAATATGCTACAAAACACTACAGGGAAACACACAAATATTATAGATAACATGTTGTGCTGCCACTCTAAAAGTACATTTATTAGTGTACAGTGGCATACACATGGCACTTTGCGTGTTTACAGTATATAAATCACACTCAGTATCATGAGTTCCTCAAATAGACGACAAACTATAATGTCAGTTGTACTTTTGCCTGAGTTGAAAGATTAGTTTTGATATTTAACTCTCTAAAGTTGAAGATCTCTTACATTTTATGTTATTTCTGGTTATAATGAAATGATAAACATTCAGTATGTCCATAGGTTTCTCTGCAGGCATTTCGCATGAATCTCAGGGCCTGAGGCCTACTGAGTAGAGAGAAGTGTGCACTGATGTCCACTAGATGTCAGTGTCAGCTTACATTAATGTTCTCCAGGGCTGCAATGGTCCTGTGGGCGTCTTCCAGCTCTGAGCTCAGATTGGACACACGATTAAGCAAGTACTTCCTTTCACTGCTCAAGCTCTCGGACTGCAAATGCAAAAAATAAGGGATAACATGCATGAAAGTTAAACGATGCGTTTCATTTCTTTTATTATTTCGCTCAGAGTTTATAAATCTCCAGTTTTCTCACCGCTATGTGCAGGTGCTCCCCCAGCAAGTTATTGGCCTGCTTGGTCCCAGTATGTGTTTGCAGAAGGCTTCAAAACAAGAAGGAAAATATGTCATTCATCTATTTTCTGCACTAATAGAATTAATCCAAAATCCTTAAATTTTATTTTTAACACAGGGCCCATTCAATAGATTGCAGTGGTGCAGGTATTGCCTGCACCACTGCAATCTTTGAGTCAAGTCAATGGCAGCTGTTTGTCAAGACAAATGTCAACAACAAACTCTCCTAATAAACTTACAACAACTGATGCACAACTTGTGTGCAGTGTGAGGCGACCATTCACTCCAGCTGCAGCAGTCTGCTGAAGAATGTTTGGTATGTGCCTGACTGCCAGCAGCAGTTGTTTGGTTATAAATATGGGCCTAACAGAATCTGGGTGAGTGTGAAGACGCAGTTTATATGTCACTGAATTTCCACCCACGCAAGGAGGAGATCTGTGGCCTATGCTGTTCATCCAGAATGTTCCACTGATCAATTCATCTATAGGAAGTGTTAAGTAAAGCCAGAGATTGAGTTCATTCAATAGTGGCTGTGTGCACACGCCCTCTTGTAGAGGCAAGCTCAGTTTTTATTTATGCACATGAGTCAGAGAGTTTAAGCAATGCACAGCCATCACGTGTGTTTTGAATTCTGTTTAGCCCAACCTTTTGTATTTCTCCTTGACATGACTGAGCTCATCTCTGGTCCTCTGCAGCTCTGCCTCCAGGCTCTCAATGCAAACCACTGTCTGCAGCAAGTTCTGGTGGAGATCGGCATTCTCCTCCTGCAGTGCCCTGAACACAGAGGAAGGATTAGAAATAGAGGGCCAGCATATGTTAATAATGAAGGTTATTTTGACTTTCAAAATTTAGGATTTAAGGAGGATTTAACGTCCAGAACTTGCAGAGTGAATTATTTGGGATGTGTCAATTGTGCTTTTTAAATGAAATGTCAAATATTTTAACATTATTAAGGTAAAAATAAATAAATAATCATCAACACAACGGTGACAGGTATTACTGCTGATATGACAATTAGGGTTTAGTTTAAAAAGTAGTTCTAAAAGGTATTCACAAAGGTTGTTAAATGTTGGTTTCCCTGGCACATATACATATTACTGACGACATATAGTTATGTAAAAAGGTTTCATAATGACACTTCATCCTGTTTTAAAAGGAATGTGGGGGGGAGGGAAGCTCAATAGTGTGATCAATAAGCACTGATCCATAACTGGATAAAGAGAGACAACCGAACGAGCCAGAGAGAAAGGCGTGAAAATCTGCAGTCAATCTGCAGAGAGAGATTATATAAATACAGACACTTACTGAAGATGGTCAGCCTCACACAGCACGTCCTAAAAAAGGAATAGAACAAGTTTAAGGAGGAGGTGGCTGAGATCAGGCTGTAGATTCTCTGTAGACACAGGTATTTTTGTTTTGTACTGCAGAGTGTGTTAGTTTTCTTTGTTGAATTCAT